CCTTGACCTTCCTTTAAGGTCACAGCGGTTAAATATGTTAAATATTTCAAACAACAATATCCTAAGAACCATTTGAACTAGAGTCATGATACTTGGGTATGTTATGTAGACCAGCAGTGCAAATATGTTTTTCAATTACAGTTATGAGGTCAAAGGTCAACTTTAAGTGCTTATATATAAATTTGGGGTCAAATGTCAACTTTGGTTAAAAGCTTTAACAGTCTTCTTCTCAAGTTCCATAAGGCCCAGGGTCATGATATTTGGCCAGTAAGTACCTGGGATGTGGTGCTATAAAGTTTCCTCATTAAAATTACCTTGACCTACTTTCAAGGTCACAGGGGTCAAATATGTGAATTGTTTTCTTCATTACAGTAATGAGGTCAAAGGTCAACTTTAAGTGCAAATCGGGATTCAAATGTCAACTTTGGTTAAAAGCTCCAAATTAAAGTTTTAAGTTTCAAGCAACAATATCTTTAGAACCTTCAGAACCATTTAAGAGATGTTAAAATGTCTTGTGTTCTAGTTACCAAATGGTCTAAGTTACCTATATATGTCAGTTGCATGTAACAAAAGAAACAGGTGAGCGATACAGGCCTGCTGGGCCTCTTGTTAAGGTGAAAAGGGTCAAATGTGTTAAAATCTTTCAACGTTACCTCTTCTGAGTGTCAAAGAGGCCTAAGATTTTTAGCCACCATCATGCTGTGGTGGAGAGTTTCATAGTGTGTTCAGATGAATGACATTGAGGCATTTTTTAAGATCACAGGTTTCAGAAGTGTGAAAAAAATAACTCCTAAATAAGCAAAAAATGATAGGTTCTGATATTTGGCCTGTAACTTGCTGATGTGAGAGCCTAAAAGGTGAGTGTTCAAAACGAATAACCTATATCAATGCTGACCACTGTATAAGTAAAAGAAATATACTTTAATCTTTCAACAAAAAAATATCATACAAAGATCCATAAGCGTGGTTAAATGATATTATGCCTATTTAAATAAATTTAACTTGAACCACATTGAAGTTCACAGGACAGAGAGAAAAATCAGGTTAGCTAAACAGGCCCTTTGGGTCTCTTGTAGAAGTATTCCAACCTTACATGACTAGCACATACTGTAACAGTGTATTCTATAGGTGTTCTGAGATTGTAGGGAGTGTTCTGAAGACTTAGTACACATTCTTACTGCCTACAGAGCTACTGTAGGGACTAGGTTGTATCTGTGTATCTGTTAAATGATGTAATGCCTTGTTTATTTGCTTCCATGACAATGAGAATGACTTGTAACCTCAGTATAATACACTTACCATAGCACATATGCTGAGAGGTCAGATTTGATTGACAGTCCAAACCTCCAAACTTTTTAACAACTTATAAGATACCCTCAAAACTATGCAATGACATCTGTAGAAGATAACCTCCAAACTATGTAATCACAAATGTTAAAGATACCCTCTAAACTATGTAATCACAAATGTTAAAGATACCATCCGAACTATGTAATCACAAATGTTAAAGATACCCTCCGAACTATGTAATCACAAATGTTAAAGATACCCTCCAAACAATGTTATCACAACTGTCAAAGACACCCTCCAAACAATGTAATCACAAATGTCAAAGATACCCTCCAAACAATGTAATCACAAATGTCAAAGATACCCTCCAAACTATGTAATCACAAATGTTAAAGATACCCTCTGATTTGAAAGTATGAATCTATCCTATTCCACACAAATATTTACTGCTGGTTAGCTTACATCTAATTTGGATCAAAACTTGATGGTATTTATTTATAATCATTATCACACTATGTTATATATCAATGTATTACTACAAACAACTTCAGTGATGGTTAAAATATCTAAAACCTGTCAGACCCTGTCTTCAATGAATGTAAAGTCCTGAATCCTAGAGTTGATTGTAAACAGAAATCTGATAAAAGTAGCATGAGTATTATGTTATATCTTCAAGCTTAAAATGATATAGAACCAGACTCTGTGCTATATTTAGTCTCAAGCTATCACAAATAGGAGGCTGAAGGTTAAAGGTCAAAGTTGATTCATGCATTTTGAGACTTCAATTTCTATCAAAAGTAAGGAATGAAATGTTTCTATACTTCGTTATTCTCTGTGACATCAGAACAAATTATGGAGACCATAGAGGCCGAGGGTAAAAATCCAATGTCTCTAGATTTTTTGCTGATGAATGATTAACCACTTGTAACACTTGTGTCTGAACACATAGGGAAAAGGTTTTGGAGACTAAAGGCCAAGGTCATCAGGTTACTGGAAAAGATGTTTGTTTAAACAAGTTCTTCTTTCTAACTGATTAATGGAATATGTCTGCTTTGTTAAGTTGTTATAACTTAGAAAAAATATTTTTTGTGTAAACCCTGGAGGCTAAAGGTCAAGGTCACAAAATCAATATGTTACGTATTGATTAGGAAGTGCCAAGACCGTCAGGGGTGAAGGTCAAATGCAAAGGTCACAAAGTCAGCAGGTAGTTGGAACATCAGATATGTAACACTATCAAGTGTACTTAGAGAGCTCCAAATGAATCTAATTTACTGGTGGCCTCAGTTAACATGTGTCAATCAAGTCATTCTGTGCAAATGTTTCAAGCCGAGGAAGGAGAATGGTAACGTAATAAGTATCCGGAGCTCCTGCACTCAGTTAAGGCAGAACTAGTAATGTGCCCCCCCCATCCCAATCCCCATCTNTGTCTGTCCTGTATTACTGGTTCAAATGGCTACCAGGAGATGGACAAATTTTGATCACCTAATAGCTGACCATCGTATACAGCTGCGCTCTAGACGACCAGATTTGATTAGCTAGGATTGTGTTAGCATTAAGGCTAGGTGTACAGTACTACAGGGAACAATTCAGTTCAATATCCCACTACAATGTGCTTGTCCGTCAAGTGTTTGTCTCTGACTAACTTTGTGTCCCGATGAACTGCTGGAATTTGATTCAATTTCTAGGTCATCATTGTCGTATAAAATTAGGAGATAGTACCTTGTTTGTCGTGTCTGTTATGGCAATTAGAACATAAGTTTTCCCCAGACCTATAAATTGAAAGCCTAATAAATTAGATTTCATGGTCTATCACCAGTACAGATACAAAATACAAGTTAATATCCCTTCATTGTGGTAAAGGCCTGAAATACAACATACTTACACACTTATTTAAACGAGAACTGTTAACATGAAAATTAATTTTAAAAAATACAAAATATTGACGTAGTGGAACTTTGTTGGCATATTGCCTTGATATGTCACTACAGTGAACTGACCAATCATAAACAAGTTTTCAAAATTTGGTCATGTGTCTCCGACCATGCATACTGACATGTATTTAATCTTTCTGTTGCCGAGGTGGATTATCTGGATAGTTCCTAACAGTGTTGAGTTATCAGTGGTTTTGTACCACAAATTTTGATTAAGATCGGTCAGATTTCTTCAATTTCTTGTACGGATTAATTAGCACAAAATTCATACAACACTGTGATATTGATGCATGTGCAATGTTTCATTTGTGGTTTGGGATCTAAAAACGTACCGAACTATGATCAGTTGGAAGTTTCAATAATAAATGTTATATATATAAGTTAAAGCAATCAATGTTCACTATTGTCACAACCACTTATGCTACATGGTAACATTGTCATGATGTCTGGCTGAGAAATGGAGCATGGCTGGATTGACATTAAGCAATGCGACATTAAAAGGCGGGGTTAACAAGATTGAACAATTGTTCTATCACAGATTAGAACATGATCCGTATCCAATCAAAACAAGATTACAAACAAATTGTTTCTGGCATAATTTTAAAGTCATATAAACTCTCTGTAATTTGCTATCTAAATTTTAGTTTTCAGTGTCTTCCACTTAATTTCACATTCTGGATAATATCATGTAAAACACCATTAAACCTACTTAAATATTATCAGTAATATCATTTGTTTAATATCATGTTGCAGATATCGACTGTTATTACTTTCCGAAAATACCACTTGTAATATCTTCATGAACAAGTTTGACAAGCGATGACTTTAGTCTTACAAACCTCGATAGTTTGTTCCATGGGTGCACAATTTCTCATTTTGTAGTTGAATTGGCTTGAAGTAAGACAGTGCTGGAAGTCTGTTTCCACTTAGCTAGCTTTGCTATGTGTTATCAAAGGGTGACTTTAAATAAACCATTTTCAAATCTTATTTCTTTTGCGAGCATTTGCATACCAAATAAATTCATGTTTTAGTAACTTTTACAGGAATACTTTGTTTATGTTCATGTTATATTTTACACTCCCATTTTATTTGACAGGTGATGTGTAGGACTTAGAGGAATGTGCTGTACTGTTTTATCTCTTGTTCCTTCGACTGTAATGGGTTTTTAACGAAGGATGGAAGTCTGCTAAAACAAGTTGTGTTTTGATCGCGATCTAAGAGGTCATTACGACTGTTTTACTGTTTATTATGAGACGTTGTGTCATGATCACATTCTGATGACACTTAAGTAATTAACAACCTCCCACTAACTAGATTGATTGAAATGTATTGCCACTAATCTATTTCCATGTCTACTTTTACAACAGATGTCCGTTTCATTCACAGCTGGAGTCAAAAATGCTTCAAGTCAAGTTTTTTCTGTTAGAAAATGAATGAACATATACCTCCAACTATTATCAGTAACTCATCAAGATCACTTTGGTCCTGGAGAACTTTGTTACTTAAGTAATAGAATTAACTGATAAAGCACATTCTTATTAGCTTAAGGGGTCAGTTTGATTGCAATCCTGAAGCGTTTTACAACTGTTGGTAAAAGGCCACAATCCATTTGATCTTTTCAATTTTCCAAATTTTTGATGCAATCCTAAATTGATTTGGTATATAATTAAGGTCCACATTTGATTTTGTACTTAAGCACTCTGATCTAAAAATAAAGTATTAACTACAGTGAGCCTTAACAACATCAGATAAAGTTTCGACAATTATATATTTACTTACGATTGATCTTTGAATCCTTCCATTTATTTCACATCCAGAAAGGCCATAAATCACCGGAGAACTGATACCGCTACTGATAGTTGATATTCTCTGTACACTTTTAAAAAAATCTTTTAAACTGATCAAAATGTCAAATGCTCTGTGTTCTGTTGAGTCCTAAGATGTCGGCCCACTAACTAAGAGCTCCACAGATCCCCTTTTTAGATAAACACATCAGAATGGTCCTTTAAGATAGCACTGTTTTCAGGCTCTTGTTTAAATTCTCATATTGGTAAAATATTCAGGTACACATTATTCACAATAGTTAAATCAATGAAGGTCTCACAATGTTAAAAGGTTAAATTTACATGTCTGTGAAAGTGAATAAATATAAAAACCATTGCTGACGTGAAGTTGTATGTGTTGGTTGTGTGGAGTGGTATGTATGTAGGTATATCAGATACCTATATATACCTACTGCTATAGTCCAAACTTGTGTAATGACACATGGTTTAGCTGTCCTGTTACCATACCATGAAATCTACACCTGTCCATCACAGCCACATGAAATTGATTTGCCTGTCTGTGACTGGCTGCTGATGCTGTTTTACCCAGCAGCTGAACTCACTGATACCAGCAACCCATCTCTATCTGAGAGACTCTCATCCACAGCTCCACGCTGTAGTGTACTGGTAGTAAGTAGGTAGTTATAAAGATCATATGTGATGGTAGTTCATAGGATAGTTCATGATGAGTGTAGTTCACAGAGGGTCATTCAAGGTGGTTGATGATGAGCGTAGTTCACAGAGGGTCATTCAAGGTGGTTGATGATGAGGGTAGTTCATAGAGGGTCATTCAAGGTGGGTCATGATGAGTGTAGTTCATAGAGGGTCATTCAAGGTAGGTCATGATGAGTGTAGTTCATAGAGGGTCATTCAAGGGGGTTCATGATGAGTGTAGTTCATAGAGGGTCATTCAAGGTAGGTCATGATGAGTGTAGTTCATAGAGGGTCATTCAAGGGGGTTCATGATGAGTGTAGTTCATAGAGGGTCATTCAAGGGGGTTCATGATGAGTGTAGTTCATAGAGGGTCATTCAAGGTAGTTGATGATGAGTGTAGTTCATAGAGGGTCATTCAAGGTGGTTCATGATGAGTGTAGTTCATAGAGGGTCATTCAAGGTTGTTCATGATGAGTCTTGTTCATAAAGAGGCACTGTAGTCTAGTGGTAGGATGCCAGGCTCATGACCAAAGGGTTGCGGGTTCGAGTCACAGCACGGCACTGAGTTGTATCTTTGAGTAAAATTTGGTTGGGCAGTGCTAGAATTGTTGAATGCTAGCTGTTAGCGCCAAAATGGCAGCTCCGGCTGTATGCTCCCCAAGGAGTTGAGAAAGATATTAGCTGGTTGCAAAGGCCCTATAACCACGGATAATAATTTGTGAACCGCTTTGAAACGACCTACGCACTAGGTTGTGATAAAGTTGTATATAAGAACCTCAAATTATTATTATTTTTATTATAAAGGGTCATTCAAGGTGGTTCATGATGAGTATATTTCATAGAGGGTTATTCAAGATAGTTCATAATAGATGAAACTTATAGAGGGTTATTTAGGGTACTAGTTCATAATGGGTCTAGGTCATTGGGACAGCTTGTAGTTCATAAAGGAAGGTATATTGAGAATACAGTTGATAGGGAATGGTAAGAGTATATATCTCGTAACAATAGAATTTATAGAACACCATTCCACATCAGTTTTCATACTTCCTGATGAATGTGTATACAACTGGGTTCACCTTCAGAGAAAACATGTTTTTCTAATTAAATTATCTTCTGGCTGTTCTGAACTGACCTGTGCATCCCACATAATTATAACGCCTGGTTGGATTACAATCCTGGTAGGTTGAAATTATTTCTATGTGCAACAGAGCAGCTATATATTAAAACCCACAGTTTGTGGTGTATCTGTTAGCTGTGAAGGAGTGATAATTATACTTGTTCAAAGGAAATCTGGTGTATAATACTTGACATATGTTACTAATATTTGGTGCAGACCCTTGCTGTTAGCATGCTTATTATAAGCATAACATATTTAATTTGGTTAATGATGGTTTTGCTTAGGAATTGTGTAACAGAGGGTTCAGCTCACCTGACGCCTAGAGCCAAATGTCTTTTGCTGAGCATCCATCATCAATCTATAGCTACCACCTTTTCTATTAAACTCCCTTCATTCCAGAATGGCTAAGTGGAGCATTTTAGGCCAAGAGATATGCTATTTTATTAACAAAGACTCCTCCTTAAATTTGAGCAAAAGAGGTGTCATTCCATTACCGGAACTATTTGGTGTATGTCTGTCGTAATTAAAAAGGAACAGAATCCATTCTATATAACTGCATAGACACAAAGTGGGCATGATATCCATTCTATATAACTGCATAGACACACAGTGGGCATGATATCCATTCTATATAACTGCATAGACACACAGTGGGCATGATATCCATTCTATATAACTGCATAGACACACAGTGGGCATGATATCCATTCTATATAACTGCATAGACACACAGTGGGCATGATATCCATTCTATATAACTGCATAGACACACAGTGGGCATGATATCCATTCTATATAACTGCATAGACACACAGTGGGCATGATATCCATTCTATATAACTGCATAGACACACAGTGGGCATGATATCCATTCTATATAACTGCATAGACACACAGTGGGCATGATATCCATTCTATATAACTGCATAGACACACAGTGGGCATGATATCCATTCTATATAACTGCATAGACACACAGTGGGCATGATATCCATTCTATATAACTGCATAGACACACAGTGGGCATGATATCCATTCTATATAACTGCATAGACACACAGTGGGCATGATATCCATTCTATATAACTGCATAGACACACAGTGGGCATGATATCCATTCTATATAACTGCATAGACACACAGTGGGCATGATATCCATTCTATATAACTGCATAGACACACAGTGGGCATGATATCCATTCTATATAACTGCATAGACACACAGTGGGCATGATATCCATTCTATATAACTGCATAGACACACAGTGGGCATGATATCCATTCTATATAACTGCATAGACACACAGTGGGCATGATATCCATTCTATATAACTGCATAGACACACAGTGGGCATGATATCCATTCTATATAACTGCATAGACACACAGTGGGCATGATATCCATTCTATATAACTGCATAGACACACAGTGGGCATGATATCCATTCTATATAACTGCATAGACACACAGTGGGCATGATATCCATTCTATATAACTGCATAGACACACAGTGGGCATGATATCCATTCTATATAACTGCATAGACACACAGTGGGCATGATATCCATTCTATATAACTGCATAGACACACAGTGGGCATGATATCCATTCTATATAACTGCATAGACACACAGTGGGCATGATATCCATTCTATATAACTGCATAGACACACAGTGGGCATGATATCCATTCTATATAACTGCATAGACACACAGTGGGCATGATATCCATTCTATATAACTGCATAGACACACAGTGGGCATGATATCCATTCTATATAACTGCATAGACACACAGTGGGCATGATATCCATTCTATATAACTGCATAGACACACAGTGGGCATGATATCCATTCTATATAACTGCATAGACACACAGTGGGCATGATATCCATTCTATATAACTGCATAGACACACAGTGGGCATGATATCCATTCTATATAACTGCATAGACACACAGTGGGCATGATATCCATTCTATATAACTGCATAGACACACAGTGGGCATGATATCCATTCTATATAACTGCATAGACACAAAGTGGGCATGATATCCATTCTATATAACTGCATAGACACACAGTGGGCATGATATCCATTCTATATAACTGCATAGACACAAAGTGGGCATGGTATCCATTCTATATAACTGCATAGACACAAAGTGGGCATGATATCCATTCTATATAATTGCATAGACACAAAGTGGGCATGATGTCCATTCTATATAACTGCATAGAGACACAGTGGGCATGATATCCATTCTACAAGGATATGTCAGGGGTTCCCCCTACATATAACTGCATAGACACAAAGTGGGCATGATGTCCATTCTATATAACTGCATAGACAGAAAGTGGGCATGATATCCATTCTATATATTTGCATAGACACACAGTGGGCATGATCTCCATTCTATATAACTGCATAGAAACACAGTGGGCATGATATCCATTCTATATAACTGCAAAACACACAGTGGGCATGATATCCATTCTACATAACTGCAAAACACACAGTGGGCATGATATCCATTCTACAAGGATATGTCAGGGGTTCCCCCTACATATAACTGCATAGACACAAAGTGGGCATGGTATCCATTCTATATATCTGCATAGACACAAAGTGGGCATGATATCCATTCTATATATCTGCCTAGACACAACGTGGCCATGGTATCCATTCTATATAACTGCATAGAGACACAGTGGGCATGATATCCATTCTATATAACTACATAGACACACAGTGGGCATGCTATCCATTCTATATAACTGCATAGCCACACAGTGGGCATGATATCCATTCTATATAACTGCAAAACACACAGTGGGCATGATATCCATTCTACATAACTGCAAAACACACAGTGGGCATGATATCCATTCTACAAGGATATGTCAGGGGTTCCCCCTACCCTGCGGACTTAATAAAATCCCTGGATCCTACTGCATAGACACACAGTGGGCATGGTATCCATTCTATATATCTGCATAGACACAAATTGGGCATGGTATCCATTCTATATATCTGCATAGACACAAAGTGGGCATGATGTCCATTCTATATAACTGCATAGAGACACAGTGGGCATGATATCCATTCTATATATCTGCGTAGACACACAGTGGGCATGATATACATTCTATATAACTGCATAGACATAAAGTGGGCATGATATCCATTCTATATAACTGCATAGAAACACAGTGGGCATGATATCCATTCTATATAACTACATAGACACACAGTGGGCATGCTATCCATTCTATATAACTGCATAGACCCAAAGTGGGCATGATATCCATTCTATATAATTGCATAGACACAAAGTGGGCATGATGTCCATTCTATATAACTGCATAGAGACACAGTGGGCATGATATCCATTCTATATAATTGCATAGACACACAGTGGGCATGCTATCCATTCTATATAACTGCATAGCCACACAGTGGGCATGATATCCATTCTACAAGGATATGTCAGGGGTTCCCCCTACATATAACTGCATAGACACAAAGTGGGAATGATATCCATTCTATATAACTGCACAGACACACAGTGGGCATGATATCCATTCTATATATTTGCATAGACACAAAGTGGGCATGGTATCCATTCTATATATCTGCA